AGCAATAAAAATCTTGTCGTCATTATATATATATATATATATATATATATATATATATATAGATAGATAGAGATAGATAGATAGATAGATAGATAGATAGATAGATAATAAGAAATATTACACGCAATAAAAAATCTTGTGTGCATTAAATAACCCATTCAGGTTGCCATGCCGTAAAAACAAATATAATATATATATATATATATATATATATATATATATATATATATATAGAGAGAGAGAGAGAGAGAGAGAAAGAGAGATAAGAAATATTACTAGCAATAAAAAATCTTGTCTGCATTAAATAACCCATTCAGCTTGCCATGCCGTAAAACAAAAGAAACCAATATATATATATATATATAATATATATATATATATATATATATATATATATATAGATAGATAGATAGATAGATAGATAGAAGAAATAAAAATAAACCAAACCAAACAAACAAAAAAATTTTCGAGCGATAAAATTTTCAATTGTTTATGTCACTTATTCGATTTATCGATTGTCATTGTTAAAATAAATGCTTATTAATACTCTTCTTTGTAAATCTTAGAAACTGATATTATTTTTGTCTTGGACCAAACTGAAAATTCTTGAGGTGCTATTTTCCTTTTGGACTTGTTTTCGTTGTTCGCTGCCAGATATTTTTGTGTTTGAAAAAATTGAGAAATTATATTAATCGGCAGAGACTAACGATTTCTAAAAAAATATTAAAATAAATGATTCATTAATTTCTATTTGGTGGGATTGTCTCCCATATTTAGAAATCACTTTACTCCATCAAACTGAATATGATGACAAAATGACTTGATCAGGTATTAATACTCATCTATAGTTAGGCTTTTGTTTCGGATAATATACACTTGTTCTAGAACTGTCAAAAAAAAAAGATACATTGCAGTTTTACGAAAGGAAACCCCCAAATAAAAATACATTTTTATTCATCGTAAATTTAAGAAAGACTGCAAATGTCTGTGCTTGAGCTGAAATTTTTTTCTTTTTTGGTTAAATTTTAGATTGATCTTGTTGCACTGAAAAACAACATTTGAAATGCTGACTTTAATTTCGACAGAAACAAAAGCTAAATTAAATGAGATTTTTAGCGCTGGAAGACAACTTTAATTTTCAAACCGCCTGGAAGTTAACAGGAAATTACTCCAATATATTTCACAAGAAGCCATAGTGCTTCATAGATAATAAAACGTGAATGGAAAATGTAGAGAGCCATGACCGCTTACGTTCTGAAGGTCAGATTAGAAAATATCACGTATGGAATACTCAAAAATGTTAATTAAAATATCCATATGTAGTCGATTTTTTGTCAATTGTGTATTAACTGTAAATTGGTAGAGGCACGTGTGTGCGTTCGTGTGTGTTAATATGTGAATGGCAGAAACTTTGCTGAGTGAAATCATCTGACCTACCTTTGTGAAAAAAAATAATTATTCAATATAGACCACAAAAATAATTAGTTCAAAAGCAATAGGGTTCAACTTATGAATATGGGATAAAGTTTCTCAAATTGAATTGATATAAATTTACAAAAGATATACTTAAAAATTATAAAATATATAAAATTATATATAAAATATATAAATATAATTAAAATATATATATATATAATCTATATATATATATATTTTTTATATATATATATAATCTATATATATATATATATATATATATATATATATATATATATATAAAATAACAATGTTAAACATAAAAATGTCTTTAATAAATAAATTGTCGGACCTTGTCCATTTCTTAATATATGACGTCATTTGTTTACATTCGATACGCCAGAGCAGTTATGAATGTATGAGATTCATGGAAGACTGGAGTTTATAAACAGTAAATTCGACCTTGTCCACCGAACGGTTCTTTGTATCCTAGAGGTAAGGCACGTCAGCGTATATGACGGTTCCGTATAGGATGCAGGTTCGAATCCTGTCAAAGAACGAATATTTTTCTATGAAAATTTCTCGGACATTCAGGCCGGTAAATGTTATTTAATACTGTTTATCATAAACAGAGCATTTGCTTAAATACTTGTATCTATAAAATAACAACGTTAAACATAAAAATGTCTTTAATATATATATATATATAACATATATAATTTTAACATATGCAAAATATATGCAATTATAAAAGCTATAATAAAAAATTAATAAAAAATATAAAAAAAATTCTCATAAAATATCAAAAAATTCTTACCCCAATAAATTATAATTAATTTTTTTTTTAAATATCAAAAATTCTTATAAAACATCCAATAGCCATTCTTATAAGGAATACCAATAACGACGCGGGTATGTAAATTTCATCTTAATTGCTTCTAAACAGATGTAGATTATTGTAAAATATTCTGAGTGGTAACCAACACTATTGGGTTATTAGTAACTAGCATCGCAATAGCAACAGTCATGTCAAAAACTAGGGAATCTTACACAATCATCAGAGATATTAGAGTTATTATAACATAAAAAAATTGTATTAGGAGCATGTGATATATATATATATATATAAAATAATATAATATATATTATATAATGTAAAGTCTAATGATGGGTAATTGATTAATATTTTTGATTTTGTCATTCATTTACCCACTATTAGTGTGATATATAAAATTTATATAAAATATTCTCCCATATTCTCGATAGGGAAATAAGGTATTTTCACATTTTTGTCATTCCATTAACAATAATATTTAATATTGTTAAACTGAAATCTATTTGTAGTTTAATTTTGAATTATTATATGGACAGGTAAATTATTTCTTATTAATGTATAATAAAAACGTATTTAAGTTGTTGAAACTTTTTTTTTTATTTTCTTAAACAATAAAATTATTAACAACGAATTTAGTTTGAGAACTAAAGAAAATTTGTACCTATAAGTATAGCGTCTTGTATAAGACGACAAATTACAACCGCGTCCTGGGTAATACGA